AGATGGCTTCACTCGTGAATTCTATTCCACATTTAAGGAAAAAATAAAATTAATTTACACAAAGTCTTTCAGAAAATAGAGAGACACTATCCAATTCATTTTATGAAGCCAGTATAACACAGCATATAAAAATCTGGCAAAGACATAACAAGAAAATAAAAAATCACTATCCTTCATAACATAGGTATAAAAACCCTTAGCAAATACAATTGAGCAATACATAAAATGGATAATATATCATGACCATGTGTGGTTCACCCCAGAAATGCACGGTTACTTTGCCATTCAAAAATCAATCAACGTAATTCAGCACATTACAGACGTATAACTTTCTCAATGGGTGCATAAAAAAATTAATAAAATTCAACACCTATTCACAATTAAAAAAAAAAAAACCTCAGAAAACTCTGAATAGAAGAAAACTTCCTCAATTGATAAAGGTCTTCTATGCAAACTCTAGTTAGCATTTTAATTAATTATGAAAGACTGTCCATTTTTCCCCTAAAACCAGGAACAAGATGAGGATTTTCACTCTCACCATGTCTACTCAGCATTTTACTAGTGGTCCTAGCCAGTGCAATTTGACAAGAAAAGGAAATAAAAACCATAAAGGCTAAAAGTAATAAGGATAACTGTCTCTATTTGCAGGTGACATGTTTGTTTACATAGAAAATCCCAAAAAATCTACAAAACAATTACCAGAAGTAATAAATAAATATCTAAGGTTGCAGGATACAAGGTCAATGTACCAAATCAGTTGTATTTAATACTTTGGCAACAAACAATTGGGAAATGAAATTTAAAATGTAATTCCATTTACAGCAGCCGCAAAAAAACAAGCAAAAACTAGGAATAACTTAAACAAGCCACACAAAACCTCTACACTGTAAAACTATAAAACATTCCTGAGGAAAACTAAAGAAGACATAAATAAATGAAGAATGGATTGTGAGACTCAATATTGTTAAGATGATAACTCTCCCCTAAATTGTTCTATAGATTCAATGCAATCCCCATCATACTGTCACAAGGATTTTTTTTTTTTTTTTGGTAGAAATTGGCATGCTGATTCCACAATGTATATGGAAATGAAAAGAAACTAGAATATCCAAAGCAATCTTGGGAGACAAGCAAAGAAAAAAGTTATATGACTTATAATACACAACTTTAAGATCTCCAAAGGTACAGTAATCACGATAGAATGGTACTGGTATACAAAACCGTGAATAGATCAAAGGAACAAAAAATATAGGGCCAAGAAATAGATCACACTTCTTATAGTTAATGATTTAATTTTTTTACAAAGATACCAAAGTAATCCAATGGGAAATAGTCTATTTTGCAAATGGTGCTGGAACATATGGATATCCATTTAGAAAAAGAAACTGAATCTTGACACCTACCTTACACCATAGGCACAACTAATTTAAGATAGATCCTATTTCTAAAAACTGAAACTATAAAGCTTCTAAAAGAAAACAGGAGAATTTGAGGGAAACATATCTAGGGAAAGGCAAAGATTTCAGAAAACAACAGCCATATATGAAAAAAATGATAACATCTACTATATCAAAATTAAAATATTCTTCTCAAACCAAACCAAAAAACCAAACTCGTTGCCGTCAAGTTGATTCCGACTCTTTAGCAACCCTATAGGACAGAGTAGAACTGCTCCATAGCGTTTGCAAGGAGCGGCTGGTGGATTCAAACTGCCAAACTTCTGGTTAGCAGCCGAGTGCTTAACCACTGCACCACCAGGACTTCTTCTTTTCAAAAGACTCTGTTACATAATGAATATGAATGCCATAAACTGGGAGGAAAATATTCTCAAAACATATATCTAATGAAGTCCTAGTATCTGGTACACACAAAGTACTCCTACAACTCGATAATAAAAATGCAACCGAACAAGAAATGGACAAAGGATATAAATCACCACTTCACAAAGATAACAAATGGCCAGTAAACTCATCAAAAAGTGTTCAGTATAATTAGTCACATGGAAATGCAAATTAATACCACAGTGTGTACCAGTAAGGTTTACTGTCATAAAGTTGCTCATGATATTCCCTGATGACTCTCTTAAAGTACCAGCACACATCCACCTATACGGCTAAACTCTGAAGGACCAAGAATACCAAAAGTTGTTGGGCATGTGGTACAACTGGAAGTCTCACACACTGATAGTGAGTATGCAAAATGATACAACCACTTTGGGAAAAGATCTGGCTGTTTCTTACAAATAGAAACAGTTACCTACCTACTTGTCAACCAGAAATTTCAATCCTAGGTATTCACCCAATAGAAATAAAACCATATATCTACAAAAAGGCATGTACATCAATATTTACAGCAGCTGTTTTCATGACAGTCAAAACCTGGAAACTGTCCAGGTGTCTATCAATAGGCGAATGGAAAAACTGTGGTATATTCATACAATGGAATATTATCCAACAATTACAAGAAAAAAATACTGTTAGATGCTACATTATGGATGAATCTCAAAAAAAACATGTTGACAGAATGAAGCCTTACAAGTAAGAGTTTATACTGTATGATTCAATTTATATGAAGTTCTTGAACAAGTGGAACTAATCTATGGTGGAAAAAAATGAAACTGATGTTGCCTCAATGAGGGTGAAAGTGAGGACTGACGGCGAAAGAGCGCAGAAAACTTCCCTGAAAGATGTTAATGTTCTGTATCTTTATAGGGTTATATGGGTGTATGCATTTTCAAATTAAGATTTCTGTACCTCA